ATAAATATTTAATACTTACGGTTATATTTAATACTAATTTTATGATCTACATAGATTTTATAGAAACATGTTTTGTATTGTATATTAGTGTATCGTTTGTTGAAAACAAAATTGAATAGTTTTGGTCAAATGATTGTATATACTTATTTTAACTTAATATATTTGGATATAAATATTTCTCAGTAATAAAAAATATTTTGTTTCAAACTCACAACACCTAGTGCAACAGCTAGGAGCGTTCGTAAGTTTAACCAACCAGACATAGATCGGTTTGGGACTTATTGATGGTCCTCATCATTATGTCGTTAGAACGATCCAGCTGCTTTAATGTCGTTACTCACAAGGAGATGTGTATACAACGAGCGTAAATGCTGGCTCCATCTATCGTGCTACTTCCCACCTAGGCCATTCTGTGACCTACAATTTTCTTTCAAGAAAATATAAGTTTGATTATAATATGCTACATTTGTCTTGAATAATTCCTACATTAATACTAAATTTTAAATGTATGTATATATTTTAAGGAATTGGTAATTTTGAAACAAATATGTTTGCATTTTATGATGAAATGTAAGAGATGTTGTAGCTAAGGTCCGAGATAATAAATGTCAAAACTATAAAAGATTTGAATTAAATTATGTATGTATTTACAAATAATATAAATTCTAAAAAAAATTATAGATTACAGCAAATATTTCACATAGTTGGATGAAAGTATATACGTTTGAATAAAATTAAATAAAATAACATTTACAGCAAATAATTCCATTTATCCGAATTCTATTTTTTTCAGTGTGAGGTAACGACACAGTTAAGTTTTAAAATAAATCTAAAACAGTTCATTCTACAAAAGTAGTTTAAAATATCTTTAAAATATCTGTTGAATATACAATTTTAAATACTAGCAGTGTCAAAAGTTAAAAAAATTATTGGTTTATAAGTAAATATATTTTTTATTGTAGTTGCTAAAAAAAAGTATATCGAAATTTCTTCTCCAATGTTTTTTAGGCTTTTGCATATTATTCATTGATTTTAGAACTGTATTTCTAACAGAAAATTTTGATAAACTGTTTTTGAAAGACAATAATTTTTATGTACTTAAATGTATAGAAAACTCGTTTTAAAATAAGAACTGTAAAACGGCTCGCTCTTCTTAGGATGCAGGATTTGTTTTTGTTTTTTTCTTAACAGGGAAAGTAGCATTAGAGTTGTAATCTGATTTATAGAATATTCAGAAAATATAAATATTCTTTTCTAATTTCAACACCCTGTATCTCCAAAATGGAACGAACTGCTACCTACATTTATATGAAACCTTTTGCTTAAATTAATTGGCTCTATCATCTGGCAAAGTTTTTCAATTAAAACCAGGACCAAAATATATATGTAGTTATTATTCAATAGCACTACCTAATACCTTGATAATGATCGTGAGATATAAATCGTGTGTTTTAGTTTGGTCTAAAGTGCCTGGCACACGTTTAAACTTTATAGATAGTTACCTTAATTTGATTCTTAAATTTCAATTTTTTTACCGTGCTAGTCTCTATTTTCGTTTTATATGTTGATCTTCGTTTAACATAACTACCAATTAAATGATTTACTTAGTGTGATACTTCATAGCCTTGCAGTGCAAAGGTAATGTTACCCTTGCCATTATTTCGTGTAGACATCAATTAGTGTTACATCCACCGGGATAAAAGCGCAGTTTTGCCTCTCCTTTCAGAATCCCTCGATACGCAACATAAAAGATCCCTTTTCTGAACCCCCGCACCTGTGTGCGAACTATTATTAGTACTCCATTAAGAACCGCCCTGAAATCTATGAATGAAATTTCGCCAATACCCTCCATTATTAGCGAATAATCCCTACATGTGAAGGAATATCGAGCCCATTCAAAGCCCTGCCCTAGTTCAATCGCTGACCTATCTCCTGCCCAACGTAGAATGTATGTCAAGTGTACGTAATCCGTTTACGAGTTATCTCCAGGTAGATCTGTGTGCGTAAGCAGTGGCAGTAAGGGTATTTTTAAGGGACAGTCGACTTAGTAACGTTTGTGATATCTGCGCTGTCCTTTTTACGAGCCTACAGATAGAGAGGAAAGGTCTAGCGCAGAGCAGACGTCTAGTCGCGCTTGTGTTGCCACTTAGGCCAGAAAGGGGAGATATGTAAGTTTGTTTTCTGATTAGGAGAAAAAGGGACACACAGATTGCTGAGGCACGAGGAAGAAATTACAACAAATCTTATTACTTAATAGACGGCAATTTGTCAAAGATTGTGAAATACACAGGGTGTCCCAGAAACAATTATCAAAATTGTAATCATGTATTAACTTTCACTAATTCACTATCCTAAAAATTAAATGTCAATCATATGTTATTTCTAAAAACTCAAGAAAATAGAGAAATTTCGATTACAATTATTAGGTACAGAAAACTTTTAATTTGAAAATAACAATTAGTTTTCACTCAAAGAAAATTAAGGAAAGGGTGCTGCTGTTTTAAATGCCCTATTTATTGACATAGAAGATAATTTCTAATTTTAAAGTCCGTTTAGTTTCCAACAGTTTTCCTTAAATATACAGTGGAAAATACACAAGTACAGTAGAGAGTATTTTTAATATTAAATTGAAGTATGAAAATATTGTCTGTGTTTTCCTTGCTTTTCCAAACTAATTAAGAAAATGTATTGCTGAAATTTGATTGTTAATCTAATAGTACAGGGTGATTCAGTTATAATGTCATTAATTTTAACAACCACGTACCTACTCAGTAGGAATAATAAAGACAGAAAATTAAAAAAAATGTTGATCTAAAAACAAACAAATTATCCCTTAACTCCAAGTAATTCGGCGTCCTGACTAGGGACACGCCGGCGGGACACACAACGTTCGAACGCTGAAGCGAAACAGCTGATTTCCCCAGCCGTCTTGAATTTTTCAAATTGATTTCAAAATCAACGTGCAACGAATCATAACTTTATTAACAAAGTGCCATGGACGAATTAGTATTGTTTCAGCCTTATTGGCATTTTAAATAGATAGTAACATACTACTCTTTGGAAATTAACTATGCAAAAAAATGTTAACAATATTAAAAATACTAAATTGTAATAACCTAACATTCGAAAACAATTATTATTATCCTTATTCAAAGCTAGGTTAGTGACCCAGTACGGTAGGTCAATATTCACTCTCGATAAACCTTTGTGGGTCAGTGGTCAGGAGCGGCCTGAAAATAATGATTTGAAAAAAAAATTTCAGCATAAATATGCATTTTAAATTTTTTGTTTCAACGCGTATTCGTATTCTACTGATTTTTCCCTATCTTCCCTTGAAATTAATGACATTATGAATCACCCTGTATAAAGTGTGACAACAAAATCAAACGCACAATTTTTCTCTCGGATTCATGTACTTCCAGTATAATATATGAAATAATACTTAGTACATATAGGGTGAACTTTTTTGACGGGCCACAAAAGAATAGGAATTTCCCTAGTACGGTTCTGGAGTTTTATAATTCTGATATCAGTGTTGTGTACTACCAAAATTTTGTCGAAAACTATAGCTAAAATTTTGACCCATGATATTTTTATGTGGCTATTCTGTACTCGCTTAGATTGCCCCGCTTTGCTATACAGTATGTATAATTCGTCATGAAACATCCTGTATGATGGTATTATATAACAAGTAGTAGTAGTTTATTAAAAATTAGTGCTACTAAGAATAGCAGAATTTCTACATCACCGAAAATTTTGTAAATTTGATCATTAGTCATTTAATTTTAAAGGAAAAAAAAGAAAAGAAGTCATTTTCAAGTAATAATTTTTTATGTATAGAATAAATAAATAAATCGACAAGTGACTTATTAGTTTTTCAGAAAAAAGTGGTGGGTGGGTTTCTTGTTACAAATACGATTTCCACATACAATGTCATAATGAAAATTTAAAAAAAACCTATTGGTAAAGATGTTTTGAATTTTCTAAGAGTTATTACCACCAAAAAATATGAACAGAATTTTTGCATCAGGAATTTTTTTGAGTTTTAATGATCACATGCTATTTAAAATTATATTTTTAGCAAAAAATTCTATAGATTAAAAAATGTATTCGAAGATAGCTCGTTTTCGATTAAAATGTGTTTGCCTGGTTAAGTCACGATTACAAGGTTCATCTGTCTACGTTAGACAATTCCAAAGACATTTGCATTTGTTTTTAGAATATCATCGCCACCATAAATTTTTAACGGAGTTAAAATTTGCAAATTAAAGTTCCAGTGAACGTTGGTTTTGTTTACTTTTGGATTGATCCTAACCCACCAAAAACTGTTCAAAAAAAAAGATGCGTATTATTTTCGACGATATGCATCACGTAGACACATTTTCTTGAAAAGAATTTCGGTGTTTCAAATCGAAGACAATGCCACCTGTCACACTTTCTAAATAACCTATTGCGGAGGTCACTGCGCATTTCAATAAATAATGGCGTTAGAACTGTCCTTGTTTTTTCCTTAACAAATGAGTCAACGGAGCCACCTCTCCTTCCACGGCCTGCATGGGAATCTGTGCAAATCGAAGTCCTCACGGCGCCTAGCTGACCGAAAGGAAACCGTTAAAAAAAACCTGACAAATTAAAAATTATAACTACCGGTTGGTAAAAAGGACGTGTGCATATTTAATCGCCGTTCAAAAAATAAAACCACAATCACATCCGATTTGGGTAATCAACTAATTAATACATACACCGCAAGATTATAATAAAAAACGGGTTCGAGTCGCATGGATCAAGTCCATTCGAGGTGATCCAAGCCCAAGACGAGAGCCGTTCATCTCAAACTCGACTTGCCCAATTCTCACGTTGCACGTCTGTAGTTGGAAAGCTGCGGCGATACGTCAGATCCGGAGCGGTACCCGGCGAGAGGCTATTCATTCATAACTTCGGAACATGTGGTAGGGGAACGGAGTGTTTGAGCAGCAACACAAACTATTCATACACTGCTTGGTGCACAGGTGCGCTCCATAGACCGTCTTCTTTGTATTCGGTCACTATTTCGATAGCTTTTGTTGACGCTTACTACGTCTTACTAGGATTCCAGTGAGGAGCGTCCGTCGTGCTTTGACCTGCGATTCGCGAAAAACTGCGCGCAAAACTGGAAAAGTGAGAGTGTGTGTGTAGTACACCGAACGAAAACTGTGACACTCGAAAACGATTTACCAAAACCTCGCCTCGGACAGTGCGAATCGGCCCGAAAAAACTTATAAATGGGTTTGTTTTCATTTGAATGGCGAGTCTATTTTTAAGCCAACTAAAATAGATCAGTGACAGTTATGCATTGGACATAATTTGGAGTAAAATCGAAACACAAAAATCGCGCTCGCAAAAATGACTGCCCGTTCGACGAGGGGCACTAGTGACGATCAATCTTCTTCAACAGACAGCCTGTGATGTTACAGTGTTAAATGTGATTGTAAATAACAGATTATTTATTAATTTATTTTGTGTTATTCTCTGTGTAAATATTGTTATCTAGTCAATGTATATAGACATTCTGAGACCCTACAGCGGGATGGGCATAAAAACAATGAAGGCTTTCAGCAGGCAGAAAGGTACGAAATTTAAAATTAATTTAAGTGTGCATAGTGGGTCCCAAGACGGCCAATGTGGCCGACAGATGTTCGTGCTCGTGTGAGCCTTCTCGGCACTGGGAACAACCACTTCTCTCTGTTCCATTCAAAATGTGTTTTAATTACCAAAAACACGACGGCCTTAATATCTCCAACTGTCAGTGTGTGGAGTGTATATTTTTATAATGCACGAGACATGCAGTTTTGGCGCAGGCGCGGGGAAGAGCAATAAAAAATAAATATAGCGAGTTCTTATTACACCACGGACGTATATTTTTTTATATACTCGTATCCAATTTGGCTGTTTATTGGTGTGCCTAAAATATATTTGTCCATGACCACATTATATTATTAACGCAACTAACAACACATTGTTTGGATATTCACAATGTGAATTATTTATTTGCTGCATAGTTAACAATTCATGACTGTGCCATTATGTTGTCATCCGCCATTTTAGCCATCTATTAGCTTGAATTCGAGAGAACGAATTTTAGAACAACTCCACTAATTCCAATTTTATTTAATGGAAGCTATTAAACTTTTGAATTTGTTGCACAAAGGGGAATAATTCCAACAAATAAACTTTTTGTCCATTCAGTTTTTGATTATTTCTGTTGATATGCGCAGATTTCTTCGCACATGTACAAACATTTGACAGTATAGTTATAGCTAATTTTTGGTTTGCTCTAAGTTGGTCTTGAATACAAAGAATCTTCTCAAAGAAAAAAGTCACTTCAAGGTGTTTCCTAAAGCAAATATCTTTACAAAATAAAGATATCTTGATTATTAGGGAAATACATGGATATAATTAGCAAACAATTAGTTCTATCTTTTCCACATAATTTATTTTTTATATTTATTTAATAAGTCGTCCAAGTTAACCTTAATTCTATCACTCCAACCCAATCCAATTGTTACTGAACAAAAAAACTTGTAATTTTTCTATAAATAAAATATAAACGGGGCCCAATATTGAACCGTGTGTCATACTAGTATTATATACCTAATTAGTACCAAAAATTTTCACTGAAGTTACCGAGACCCATTTTCAGCAACGTAAATTTAGATTTCTTTAACGTTCATCATTGAAATCAAAAGATTGTTGGAATCGGTGTTATCCATACACCTAAATACACTTTTTAGATTGATTTTATACTTATACAAGTATTATTTGTCTTTGTCTGATTGCAATATAAAATCAAACACATAACACTGTTCTCGTCGTCTTTGTAGCTATGACATTCTTTGTACTGAGAAAAAGAAATGTATCATTATTATTCACATAGATTATTTACACAAAATTAACAATAATTTCGCTTTGATGTGTCTTTGTCGGCGGCGTTTCGCTGAAATCCCTATCGCCGAGTTTTGCAACTGCAACTCGATTAGGTCTTATCGGTTGCATTCTAAGAACAAGGGGCGATACCCCTTTAGTTACATCTTAATAGAGTTGCTCAGGGTATCCAAAAGGATTCGTTTGGTACCCGCAAGATGCGTTTTTGTCTGTTTATTTTTGTCAAATAAATAGTATATCATGTTTTGCAGAAACATGAAAATATTAAATCACATGTTCATCATGCTGTCAGAAGATTCTCAATTTTTAAATACCCTACAAATTGCCGCCAGAAAGTGATAATTTGTCGGAATCCAGTTCGACAAGATGTAGATCCTCTTTCCCTAAGGCTAAAATATATGGACAAAATACCTGACGCTCCCAAAATTGTTAAAAAATGTAAAAAATTTAGAGTCATCAACGTTTAAACTCGACAATTAATAGTGAGTTAGGTGAACGTGCAAAAAGGCAGGGATAAAATAGTCGATTTCTTACATTTCATTGGCTGCTCCAGTTGAGGTGAGTGACGTCATTTGGTTTAAATTTTTAAGTTTTGGAATAAGCTAATACAAAAATATGATGAACACTGTTGCAAGAAATAAAATGACTCTTCAAAACTACTTAACTGAAGTTAACGAAAACAATACAGCCTTTTCCAAATGTATTTTAGAAACGGTCGACTTAATTTTAGAAATCATCATTTCAATAATTTCGTAGGGCGATATTTGTATTTATAATTTGTTATTTCACCAAATATTGATTGAATCTCAGAATTATTAAGTTGTTTTCATAGAAGTTCAATTGTTTTTCAGAAAATGTAAATTGATTTTCAGAAAACAATAAAAACATTGTCTGATTTCTGATAACGTCAAATAGTACCAACTTTTCTGAAATACAAATGACTTAATCTGAAATGTTAGACAGTTATTAATAAAGTATTTGCCATCTAACACATCTAACAGTTTTTCTATGCAGCCACAATAATGAAATAATTAAATTTATTTTAATTGTTACCGTCATTCAATTTGACTTAAATTTTTTCTAGGATACTTTTTCCGAATTCTGAAATATATTTTAAAAATTTCTAAAATACATGCAATATATTCTGATATATATTTTACATTTTCTCAAATATAATTTATATCGTTTGACGAAAAAATAATTCGTCATCCACAAATGATACTTTTGCACCATTAAGAAATCTTTCCTAGTAACCAACCTTTCAAGAATAGATGTTTCTAGGATATCTTGAAAAATTCTGTCTTTGATACTGTTCTGAAATTATACATATTAAGACAAAAAATGAATTCTGAAATAAATAAGACAAGTTCCAATACAAGTAACTTAATCGGAATACAATAAACAGTAATTCTTGTGCGGTATTAACATTTAAAAAAATCCTCCACAAATGACACCTTCGCACCATTAAAAAAACGACCTTTCCTAATAAAGAACCATCCGAGAGTAAATATTTCTGGAATGACTCGAATGTTCTACCACCCTGGTAGCGTCTAGGAAGGCTCCATTACGGTATGAAAGCCACCGACACGGCCAGGGCCCCAATTTACAAATTAGGCATAACGCGCACACCGAGAGGCGGTTTTTCAATTTGAGACCACAAAATATATAGACGCAGTGATATAATTATAAAGTCCGCTACTGTGGGCCGCTCTATTAACTTGTTAACCGGATGTAGGCACTTCATCTGTTTGGCCTTGGGTGCGCGCTTGGGTTTTCTCTTAATTTTTTCCACCCTCATTATGTTTACAGCGGCGACACCGACAATTATCATGGGATTGTCATATTTTCCAGAGAGGCCGCTTTTTAGAGACATGCCTTTTGTTTGGAGTTACTTATTGCACTTGTTGGTTATAATATTGCTCGTAGAAATTGTTTGGCGTTCATCTTTCGTTCTTGCGGTGCATCATAGCTAAGAGGGCGCTTTCCATAAGTATTATGTAAAATGTAACGCAAATATAAAATATTTGTATAATAAAATAAACAACAAATAACAAACAACTCTTCAAAATAACATGGGAAATATATACTGCAATTGTCATGTCTTGTTATGTTAGTGAGTGAGCAGTGCCAATAGCAGCCAGTAATAACGGCTTGTCTTACTTTTGGTAATCAGTTAAATCAGTTTTTAGTTTCGGAATTATCTAATAGATGGCAGAAGTATTTAAATTTGAATATAAGCTTGATTAAACCAGTATAGTATCAAATTAAATGCTATTCAAACATTTTTTATATCATTTCCTTATGCCACTGAAAATAAACGATTTTCGGTATTCTGTAGGTTGTAAAATCAAAAAATTGGTACAAGGATTTCTATATATAAAAATTATAGTATTCATCTCTTCTTTGTTGCAATTATGGAATTTGAAACATTAATTGTACGGGATAAATTTAAGGGCTGATTATTGTCAATATGTTTAAATTTTAAACTTTTAATTAAGAAATGTTTTAATTTATAAATTATACTTATTGTAAGGTTATTCTAGGTGTGTATTCAGCAGTAAAGAGTAGTGAATTTTATAACGTTGAAAATATATTTTTATCACCTATTTACTTTTTGTATTTTTCTATGTAATACCCACTTTTGAAAAACTCCAAAATTATGTTAACATGGCTGTAAAGTATGCAGATAGGTACACATTTTTAACTTAAAATATAAAACAAATTATAACTAAAATTAAAAAAACTCACTTGCCCTAGGTTAGAGACGAAAAGACTGTTCTATTTTTTCTGTTTATGGCAAAAATTGGTTTCGTTATAAAATTTTAATACAAGTGTACAGTCTTTCCGAAGTCAGTTGAACATGTATAAAAACGCCTAGCAATAAAATTTAATAGGCGTCCCTAAAAAATTTTTCTGCTAAAGCTAAAAAATTATATTAATTTGTATATGATATATAGACAATATCTATTATATGTTCATTTGGCCAACAACATGTTTTAATTATTTATGTCCTCAAACAATTTTATTATATTTGATGGTAAATGTCGTTTTGTTCCGTTTCAAAAGGTCTCCAAAATTCCATATTGTAATAATATTAGTAAACAAAGTATCCCTCTTATTTCTAGCTTTCGCAATTGTAATATGAATGATTAATAGAAGGTGCCTATAATAAATTAAAATTACCTGAATCACACCAAATTTCTCATTGCTGCACTGCACTGCTAGGAAATTTGCCAACCACTTGTCAACAGCTGAGATTTATTGCTCAGTCGTCCAGTTCGGCTGTCTGTGTACGCTGTTTGCGCGCGCGCGCATTCTGCAACTAGGCATATACATTTCTACCACCTTCACGTTTAGTTCGACCCTACCTGCATATCGGTATGGCTAAATAAACATGGGAACAAGTTTTTGAAATATTTCAATGCCGAGTTGCTGCGTCAGCGACCGAACCAGGTACGTACTGCCAATCTCTTGGTACTCCAATTGAGATCGGAAAGACTATACAAAAATTTAAGTTTTCACTGAATTAATCAAGAACTATTTAATTAAAAATGACAATATACGTAGTATCGAATTTTATTGTTTGACCTCATTTATGCACTGTCCTTTTAGAAATATATAACTAACTAAATAATCCTTTAATTTACAACATTTCATACAAAATGTGCCTATAATGCTGTTTTGA